TCCTACTACTCCGTTGGATGAGCGTACACCACAGAATGTAGGTGTGAAGGAGGCACAAGTTTGCTTTCTTTCATTTTGATAAATCTCAGTTTTCTTATGTGCTATCTTGATATGCCGTGAGTCTAATGTTTAAAAACACATGTAGTCTTGAACCACATGGTCCCTAAGGGAAAGCCACCTACTTCAGTGCGTACCATATGCTCTAATTGAGAAGAAAAAACCGGCTGTCTTGGACAGTCAGCGTCAGCTTTCCTGGGATTTTCATGGGTAATTTTAAATTATGTTTAATTTGCCTCCTGCAAAGCTTTTAGATGATGTATTAGTCTTCTTTTGCTACATGACAAATTACCACACATTAAGCAGCTCAAATAAAGTGCACACTTAACTAGCAGTTTCTGTGGGTCAGGGATCCTGGCATGGTATACTTGAGCTGTCTGGTCAGGGTTGCTTGAGACCATAGCCAAGGGTTTTGCTGGGCTTCGTGTTCATCTGGAGGTACCCCTGGGGGGAAGTCTGCTTCCAAGTTATCGGCCAAATCATTTCCTGTGCTTGTGTAGGAGGAGAGCCCTGTTGTTTTGTTTGCGTTTTGTTGCTTGATGTTAGCTGGAGGCCCTTCCCAGATCTGGGAGGCTTTTTCATTTCTTTGCCATGCACGAGGGGGGGCGCTCCTCAAAATCACTGCTACCTGACAGAGCCAGCAAGACTTTCTGTAATCTCAGAGGCCTTGTTTCTCTCTGAAGGGTTTTCACCCCATTAAGGTCTATCACAGCCATCTTCCTTTTTATGAACTCAAAGTCAAGAGCTCTGGACCTTAGTTACACTTGCAAAGTGCCTTCTAAATTCTTTGACCATCCTGCCCTGGGAGAGGCTTGGAGGGTTTCCTGCTGCAGGACAGAAGTGCTGTTCTGTCTCCTGAAGGTAGATTTTTATGTAGGGTTTGTAAAAACCAAACCAAACCAAACCAAACCAAACAAAACCCTACATCAATAAAAGAATTAAAGATCTAAGTTTAGAAGGAGAAACCAAATCACTCTACTGGAAAGGGCAGGGAAAGGGAAAGCAAAGTTACTGTATTGGGAAAAGGGACAGAAGTAAGGAGACAGATTGTTGGAGTAAGGTAGTGGGTCTGGAGCTGGAGCTTCGGCGTCTTTGCTCTCAGCCTCTTTTATTACATGGCAAGAAAAGGACTCTCTCCTTGAGAGCTTTTGAAATTTGATCGACTGTTCTGGGCTCTGAGACCCCTGATTTGGCCATTGCCCCTTCCATTGCCCACGTGTACATTCTGGATAAGTACTTCTGTGGTCTGTCCCGTCCAGGTGCTTCTCTTGGGAGATTACAGCCGATTACTTACATTCAAGGCTGAATTAGTAAAAAGGATGCATGTGCATTTTAGTGTGTTAATATGGTGAGGGAATAATATATCTATATATCTAGATCGAGATCGCCCTATGTATATGTGTGTGTGCTTATACATACTGCATGAGGGGCTTGGTGTGGGGTCCTTTTTATAATATAGCCTCCCCATTTTTATTGGAGATGGAGGGAGGAGGAAATTGAGCCTTGACCTGAAGTGAGCCAGGCTGCCTTCTTAACTCTCTCTCTCCGTTTTTCTTAGCTGTTCTCTCTAGCAGGGGGTTACCCCTTTATTTGCCAGAAGCCTCACTGGAACCCTTTACCTCTCCCTGCCTGTCCCCCAACTTTCCCTACAGTAGGAATGAGTGTCTCCAAACCAGGAGACTTAGAAACGTATCTGGTCACAACCTGGCTCTGGTTATAGATGTCATAAAATACTGATTTTGTTTTTAATTAGCGATCTCGTTTTTTAAAGAAAAGATTGTGATAAAATGTGCATAATAAAAGTCACCACTTCTTGCCATTTCGAAGTGCGATTCAGTGGCATTGAAGAGCCCCCCCCCCTTCCCCCCCGCGTAGTTATCAGCCACGGCCCCGCCCTTCCCCAGGCGGTCTTCGTCGGGCCCACTCACCTCTGTGCCCATTAAACAGCAAGTCCACGCCGTCCACGCCTGGTCTTGGTGACTTCTGAACTGTTTTCTTTCTCTAAGAATCTGACTACTCTCGGGGCCTCATAGGAGTTTGTCCTTCAGAGTCTGACTTTTTCACTTGGCATAATGTCTTCAGGTCCATTTTTGTCGTAGCATATGCCCAAATTCTTTTCCTTTTTAAGGTTGGATAATCATCCACTGTATGGGTAGAAGGCGTTTGGTTTATTCTCATGTCGATGGACACCTGGGTTCCTCCTACCTTTTAGCTATTTGGAATGATGCTGTTGTGAACACAGGGACATAAATATCAGAGTCCCTGATTTCAATTTTTTGCCTATGAACCCAGAAGTGAAATTGGTGAATTACACGGTAAACTACTTCTAATTAGAAATGCAGATTTTAATGGGCATCGTGAGGCACATCCAGAGGTGGAGGCTGAGCGCCTTTGAAATACACGTGACCCTCACTGGAGGCCTCGTAAGGACTAACTGCACACCTGACCTTGAAGGGGGCATCTGTTCTGCCCCTGCTACCTTGTTCCACTCACAAAGGGAAAAATGGGCTTCTTGGGGAAAGGAGACCCTTACCCTTCACCTCTGGGTTCCACCCTGAAAAGTAAAGGCAGTGGTCCAGGTCCATTTTGGTCCCCACAGGCCATCTCCTGTGGCTGTGAGAGCTGGGTAAGATTCTGGAGCCATGATGCAGGCTTTGTGACTCTGGGTGTCCCTTAAGTCATTATGATTGTATTGCCTGGTGGTAGACCCTTCTGCACAGGGTGGATGGTGTATATGTGTCTTTAGAGCTGATTAGGAAAAGGGAGTTGAGGTTTTTTCCAGCCTAGGGCCACTCTTGGAAAGAGGGTAGATGGGTTGGGCCAGAGAAAGAAGCAAAGTAGTCTGAATTCCTGATGCTTCTGACGCCTTGTAGGGGGAAATTAAAATTTTAAATAAAATCCTGCCCAGGATGCCTGCCAAGGCCAAGCGGACATGTCTGGCAGGCCTGATAACAGAACATTTCTTCCTTTGTGTAACTCTTGTGTTTACTGCCTTTGTATAACTGATGGCCTTGCATGTAACTTAAAATGTAACAGGGCATTTCTTCCTTTGTATAATCCATGCTTTATATAACTGATGGCCTTGCAATGTAACCTGGGATGTTTAAACTCCCTTAGCAACCCATGATGTCGTCTAACCTCCCAATCATAATGCACCAAGTCTGCCTTTGTACTTCCCCCTTATTCTCCCTATAAAAGACCCAACCACCAGGCAGGGCTGACTCTGGGAGAGATCCGAGTCAAGTCCACCAGTGTAAAATAAACTGCCTCCTAAACCTTCTCAGTGCCATTTCTTCCCATGTCCAGTCTACTTTCTATAATAGCCTAACAGCTGTGAGACCTGTGTAGAACTTCAGAAAGAATTAAACGTCTTATTCCAAAGACTCATTCACACAGTGGGACTTCAAGCACCGTGGCAGACTGTTGCATCAACATTTTGGGACCAGTGTAAAGAATTAAGAGAACAGTGTATGAGATGGAGGCCCCAGGTGCCTGCTGAGCCTCTGTATGTGAGCAGACGTATTGCACTCCCTTAATGCTTAGCAGAGGGGGTACAAATTACTTCTTTCTGCCCTGGTGCAGGGGTCTGCACTGTGTTTGAAGCCAACTGAATTTATTCTCTTGGTATAGCTGTACTTGTCAGTCAGGAATTCCAGGTGCCCAGGAATGTTCCTCCCACAGTGCTGTAGAAATCCAGGGGAAAGGGAGCAGGTGAGCACCCGTGTGCAACATGCAGAGCAGGGAGTGCACAGTGCCACGCTGTCTGCAGCTGCAGGTTCTTGCTCCTGTACTGCTCTGTTCAGCAGGGGTCAGAGACTCTTGAAACACTGCCTCATAGAAAATGGTGTGAGCCCCATACTGTATAGGATTTTAAATTTTCTAATGGCCACATTAATAAAACATAAAAGCAGCCAGGTAAAATTTAACTTTAACCAAATTCTTTTTAATATGATATATCCAAAATATCATCTCAACACATAACCAATATTAAAGCTATTGGGCTATTTCATATTCATTCTTTCTTTCAGGTAAGTGTATTAGTTAGGATTTTCCAAAGGAACAGAAAAAATGAAATGTACATATAATCATAAGAGGAGATTTATTAAATTAGCGGAATAGTCCCACAGAGGCTGTCTTCGGGCTGGAGAGCTGAGGAAGCCAGTGGCTGCTCAGTCTGAGAAGGTGAAAGTGTCAGAATAAGAAGGACCAATGATGCGGCCTCTGTCACTGATGCAAATCTGCATTCAAAGGCTGAAGAATGAGCCCGTCGTGGTAGTGCTGGTCTGGCAGGCTGAGGTAGGAGGATCAAAAGTTTGAGCCCAGCCTGGGCAACTTAGTAACTCAGTGAGACTATCTCAAAATAAAGAAGGGTTGGGGATGTGGCTCTGTGTGAAAGCCGCAGATTCAATGCCTAGGATCTACTCTCCCAGATGTGAAGAATCTGGATTCTGATGTGCACAGGGGATGGCAGCAGCAAAAATGCACTCGTGAAGATGATGTCTTGATTACTTTTCTCTCGTTGCTGAGACAAAATACCCAGCACTCAAAATTAAGGAAGGAAAAGTTGATTTAGCTCACAGTTTGTGGAGATTTCAGTTCCTAATCAGCTGGCTCCAAGGCAGGGTAGCAGGACACAGGGGCAACAGTTCAAGGGGGCAGAAGACAGCAAAAGCAACAGCAGCAAAAACGGCTGGGGGAGAGCAAGCTGCTTCTCCTCCTTGTGTTATATGCAGGCTACTCCCACCCAGGGTGGGTGTAGCACTCACACCATCTTGGTGCCCCCCTCTTGCACAGGTTCAGGATATTTACAAAGTGAAGACCCTGGCTCCCTGCTGAGTCAGCTAAATTTCTAAACTTCTCAAGTTGACACAATGTGTCAGCCGTTACAGACCAGTGGAGACTGTGCAGCTAGGCAAGCATCCCCACCATCTGTTTGTTGTTCTATCCAGGATCCCAGCCGATTGGACAGTGCCACCATATTGAGGGTGAGTCTTTCCTCTCGGTTTGCTGACTCACATGCCAATCCTCTCTGGAAACAGAATGTGCTTTACCAGTTTGCTTTACTGATTTTCTAAGCATTTCTTAATCCTACCCAGCTGACAACCCAGTGTAACCATACTGAGTCTTTGGAGTGTGGTGTGTATTTTATACTTATAGCATGCCTCAGTTCAGAAAAGCTGCATATCAAGTATTTAATAGTCACATGTAACTTGTGGCCACTACACTGGCAACTCTCACGGATCCAAGGTTAATAGTGAGCTTTACTGAATGATCACGATTACGTGTATTAAATCACTGACTCCCCACAGGCTGCCACTATCTCCAAAGGAATGTCAGTGTATTCTGTGATTTGTGTTCTCCTTCTTCCATCTTTAAGGGGCAGCTCTGTCTCCACCTCTATTTCCCTCTGCTTCTGTCCTTGTGTGGCTGCTTCTGCTTCCCTTTTAGGACCCTTGTGATTACACTCAGATCACCCAGCATACTCACTTCATCTCAGGATCCTTAATTTGATTACATTTGCAAAGTCTCTTTTACTGTATAACATTTTCAGGTTCTGAAGATTAAGATGTGGGCATCTGGGAGGGGCCCACACAGCAGGGACTTTGTTTTCTTTATCATGTAAGGAAAACTCTGAGCAGAATCTGCAGTTTTTCTTCTTCCTCCTTGAACCTTCCGTGTACCGCAGCTCCCCCACTCCTAGGAGAGACTGTCTCTTCTTTGTCCCCTTAGTCTGCAGCCCTAGAGGGTCCTGCGGAGGTGCAGTCTTTCTTCTCCTGTGTCTCTGGTCCTTCTCTTAGCCCAGGTCCTTTGGTCTCATGGATGATGTGCTGAGAATTGCATGTATCTCTTTCCCCTGCGAGTTAGAGATTTCCAAGGAACACTTCTTTCTGCTTTGTGCTTCTCATTCTTAGAGAAGAGGAAGGGAAAGGAGCAGAACTGTTACCACAGGAGGCATCTCTGTGCTTGTAGAAGGATCTGAAAGGTCATGTAGTTCAGCCATCCCACCCATGCCCAGTGAACTCTACAGCATAGCAGAAATCAACTTGAATTAATTTGAGGAAAAAAACAGCGAGCATTTCTGGCTCTGATTTCTTGCCTTTTTTTGGCAAGTAGAGGACCCTTTCCCTAGGAAAAGGGACTTTCCCTGTCTCCCTTGGGCTCCCAGCCCATTGTCAGTGATTAGGAGATTCCAGTCCGGGGCTTCTCAAATACCTGGCAGTCAGATGTGCCTCACTGCACCCAAGTAATGAAGCGTCTCAGACAAGGTGGGACTGCAGAGGAAGAAGCCGGACACCAGTGGCAATAAGAGAGGAGCATAGCCAGTGTTTTGATGACTGACTGGGATGTTGAGCCTTAAGCTAGAAACTTTAATGTTGCTACATTTTATACACACATGTGAGTATATGCATAAATGTAGATGTACTTAATTTTTTTTTTTTTTTGGTCTTTTTGAGACAGGGTCTCACTATGCTGTTCAGGCTGGACTTGAGTTCACTTTGTAGCCCAGGCTGATCTCAAACTTGCAACGATCCTCCTGCCTCAGCCTCCCGAGTGCTGGGATTACAGATGTGCGCCACCACGTCTGGCTTATGTACTTAATGTTATACGAAGGTTGAGCACCTATTATGCACCATGCACTGCAGTCGTGTTGAGAATAGAGAGATGATTTATTCCTATGCTAAAGGTTTTCCTGAGACAAAGAATTGCTGGGCAGTTGGATAAATGCTGTAAGAGTTGTTGGTATTGAGTAAAGAGAGCACAGAAGGAGGTATATTTCTTCTGCTTGGGAATGTTTCTGCTGTATTCAGAGGTAGGGTCTTTCAGGAGGCAATCAAGTTTAAATAGGATCATTAGGGTGGATTGAAATCCAATCTGACCACTGTGTTAGAAGCTGACTGCTTATAAGAAGAGAAAATTTGGAAACAAGGAGACCACACAGGCCAAGAGAAATGAACACATGAGCCCAGGGAGAAGGTGACTGTCCACAAGCTAAGGAGAAAGAACACAGGAAAAACTAGCCCTATTGATGCCTCAGTGTCCAACTTTAGCCTCCCAATAGTGAGAAAATAAAATTCTGTTGTTTAAATTCCCTAGTCTGTACGACTCGCTGATTTATACAGCTACAAAGCCTGTGGTGTGCCCAGGAAGAGTGGAGGAAGATCTCCCTCTCAGGAAACCTTTATGAAGAAGTGGACATTTGAAATAGGTCTCAGAAGCAATTCAAAGATCACAGGGAGAAGGTGTGTGTCTGTGTGGATGAGAGAGAGAGAGGGAAAAGAAAAGGCACTAGGAGAAGGATGTTCAATGCAGAAGAAGTTATCTGGCCAAATGGGCTTAGGAAAGTGCAGATAATCCCATGGAACCCTCAGGAGAGGGGCTGGGGTGGATGTGAGAGCAGACCCTGAAGCACAGGCTGATTCTAAAGTAGCTTACGTCTTCTAGTTTTATCTTGTTAGTGACCAGACTGTGAAAGCAGAGTGTGACAAGAACAGCTGTATTTTAGCAGAGGGACTGTGCGGAGGAGGGACTGAGGGATAGCAGGCTTTAGCAGCCAGATCAGTTAAGGAAGCCCAGGAATGACAAAAGTAGAAATGAGAGCAAGCATGTGGGGACAGGCATGGGACCACACCTGTGAAGGGCAGGAAGGTGTGGAGCCAGGGAGCAGGGCCTCCAGGCTCCTGTGCAGACAGGGCCGTGCCGGGAGGAGAGGGGCTGGAAGGAGAGCTGAGCGGGCTGCCTTTATGCAGGGGCAGTCTGAGAAGGCCTGCTGGAAGGGTGTCCCAGAACTGAGACCTCCCCTGCGTTAGTAAAGTCTCTCTCCTGCAGGAATGGCTTTCTCTAGTCCCTGCCTGTGCTCAGTCACTGGCTGGGAGCAGCCTGGAAAGTGTGGCCTTAGAGTGAGCACTGGACTCTTCCACGGCGCAGAAGTTGAAGGTCATAGGCCAGCAAGGCCCCTCCACCACTTTCTTACAGGGAGACCTGAGCAAGGTCCCTGGTCAGCCTGGAGAGGGCTGCAGCAGCCTGGTCTGAACTAAGGCAGTAATAGGAGACAGAAAAGACGTGGAAAGGGACTACACCTCATTGGCAGCTCTGGTCTGAGGGGTGGAGGTTGTTCTACCAGTCTCTCAAAGGGGCTTCAGCTGTTTCCTGTGGATGTGTGGCTGCTACCTGCTCTCCTCTTTTTTGGCTGGGGCAGGAGATCCCCTCCATTCTTCTTGGGCATACCACACACACCACAGGCTCGGTAGATGTGCCAGTCAGCTCTAGCTTCTATAACAAGTAGCACAGGCTTGGGGCTTGAACAGCAGGCTTTTATTTTCTCACAGTTAGATATACCAAACAGGTTCATAATTTAAAACAAAGACATTTTCCAGCAGGCTTCCTCCCTGCCAGCAGCTTGCCTCCCATGATGTTTCCGCAGATAAGCTGTCTTTATCTGCACACCAACCCACTGTCCTTCCAGGTCAGTGATCTGCCTGAGAAGATGATGGTGGTGGCGGTGGGTGGGGGAGAAGAGCAAAGGGAGGGTCTGCGAAGAGTGGCTGGAGACACTTGAGAGCTGAGCCTCCCTGATTTGAGTGGCCCCAAGGATCCAGCCCATAGTAGAATGGTGTCTGTGGCCCGGATGCCCACCCTGGAAACCACTGTCTGAGAATCACTGTTCTATCAGGTGGTGAGGGCTGAACTCTCTGCAGTAGAAGAAATGGAAAACAGTAGAAGACACGCATTGCTGGTTAGAACTTCCTGTGCCTTGGTCTTGCTCCAAGTGTTCCGCTCCTCTCCCACCAATATCCTTCTCTAACTCTCCACTCCTACCCTGTGCTCTATCCAGTCCTGACCATCTGATGTTCTCCAGAACATGCCACGATTTACCGTCTCTGTGCCTGGGTTGGTGCTGGTTCCTTTGTGTGCAACTTACATGACTTTTGGTTGCCTCCAAAGCTCTTCTCAGGCCTACAAGGGAGAGCTCCAGTTTCACGGGCTACCCTCTCTCTTTAATTCTGACACTTTGCCCTATGTCTTCATGCCTGTTTTGTCTTGCATGGCTTCACTGTCCAGGGACAGGAACTCTTTTATGCAACTTTGTGTTCACAATTATAAATAGCACAATGCCTTATATACAGTGGAGCTGGATAAGTCTTTGTTGAGTAGAATTGAATTTTAAAAATTGCCTTATGGGGGCTGGGGATTTAGCTCAGCGGCACAGTGCCTGCCTGGCAAGTGCAAGGTCGTGAGTTTGATTTCTGGTACTGGAGAAAAACAAAACAAAACAAAAAAATTGCCTTGTGTTATTTTCTTCAGATAATTTATGGTAGAATGCCAAAAGACTTCTTCTGGCCAAGAGAATATTTTTTGGCTACCATACCTTGACTCTTAACTCCTGCCTTTTGAAGCTCGGATTGACTTAACCTGCTTTGCTTTACTTGTTAAAACTTGTACATTTACCAAAATGAGCTCATAGCTTCATCTAAGCCTACTTCCTCAGGAAGATTTACATTTTTCTGAACATTTATAAACATCTTAGAAAAATTTCTAAATAGATACTCCGTGGTTTCCTCTTACGGGTTCTAGCAGTATTTGCATATTAAAAGAAGAACTTGAGAGACCATGTGGCGGCCCGTGCCTGTAATTGGAGCACTCTGGGAGGCTAAGGCAAGAGGATTCCAAGTTCCAGCCCAGCAAGGACAATTTAGCAATTCAGTGAGACCCAGTCTCAAGGTTAAA